CACACAAGGCTTACCCAACTGCACCACCCGATGCCCTCAAGCTTTTGCTGAGGGATCAGTTTGTAAATGCCTTGGACAGTCCACAACTAAAGATACAAGTAAAGCAAGCACACCCCTCTACTATGCAGGATGCAATGGCTAAAGCTCTTGAATTCGAATCCTATGTCAAGTCCAGCACAGAAGTACCAAGGTTGGTACAGTAATCAGGATTCAAGGCCAGAAAAGGGCAGCTTTCAGAGAACTTTGAGGGACTTTGCTGGCACTGTAACAAATCTGGGCACAAGAGAGCTCAATGCCAGCAACTTCAACACAGGAAAGATGTCACAGCAGGAAAGGCTGCTACCCAGAAAGGTTGTTGGAACTGTGGAGAGCATAGACAGATGAGGAGTCAGTGTAAGAAGAATACTACCAATAATTCAGCCTTGAGGAGACCAGTAGTGGTTGGTGATGAGGGACGCTTATCAACCCCATTGTGAAAGTCCCAACAGCTAAGTGTAAAATGCCAAGCACATATGGTGTCTATGTGACAGGAAAGCTGGATGGCCAAAAGTGCAACTTTGTCATAGATTCTGCATTTCAGCAAACCCTTGTGAGTATCAAGGTGCTAGATCACAAAGAGTACCAGAAGCCATACAGAAGCTCTTTGGTGTGACAGGATGTTATGTAAGGTTGTGGGGATCAGTGTGGGTAACTATTGAGCTCATGGGCATAAAAGACAGACACAAAGTATACTTGGCTGACATTGAAGACCAATGCATATTAGGGTTGGACTACTTGCTACTGAGGAAGTGTGTAGTTAACTTTGATAAAATGACGTTTGGGAACAACAAAGGCCAAATTCTGGTAAGTGTTAAAAGAGAGGTTGAACTAACCAGGTGCCATCAAGCTGAAGTCAAAGTGACTGAAGGAGTTGATGATGGTGAAGTGTAACCAAGTATAGATATTAAAGCAGAACAGGAGAATGACCAAGATTTGAAGCCAATAATTGATTTTTCACAAGCAAGTGTTTTGCACCCTGCTTGGGAGAAGGTGTCTAGCTTAAGCTCTCTGACAAAGAACTATTGGGCACAATGGGACCAGTTGAAGCTTGAAGATGGTATTCTTGTCCAGAGATGGGAAACTGCAGATGGGAAAGTGATGACCTGGCAAACAGTTATACTGAGAAAGTTATGGGAAGTTGTGCTGCATCAATCCCATGATAGCTTAACAGGAGGACATCTTTGAGTTAAGAAGACATTGAGTCACCTACAGCAGAGATTTTACTGGATAGGTATGAGGCAAGATGTAGAAGAATGGTGCAGGACCTGTAGTACATGTTGTGCTAAAAGGGGACCCAAGCATAAGGGACGTGCTCCAATGAAGTTATATCAAGTTTGTGCACCAATGGAAAGAGTAGCCGTTGACATTGCTGGTCCTTTGCCTCAAACTTGTGCTGGAAACAGGTACATTTGTGTGGTGATGGATTATTTTACCAAGTGGCCTAAGGCATATGCAATACCAAATCAGGAAACTACAACTGTATTCAGATCAAAGCCGTAATTTGAATCAGCTGTGTTCCATGAATGCTGGAAGTTGTTTGGCATATGAAAGACCAGGACAACACCACTTCACCCACAGTCTGATGGGATGGTATAAAAGTACAATTGGACACTGGGACAGGAATTGGCAAAGTTTTGTAATAGCCGCCAAGATGACTTGGATGTCTTACTCCCTCTACTGTTGATGGCCTATAGAACAGCAGAGCATGAAGCCACTGG